ATTTTTTAAAAAATCCCAACACCAAAGATGCTGAGTCGTGAGGATTGTTACTAGTTCAAGACCAGCAGGCTACATCATGAATTCCAGGCCATCTTGGGCTACAAAGTATAATCTTGTCCTAAAAACAAAAACAAGAACAAAAACACACCTAAGACGGTAAGAGCACTTGCCACCAAACCTGATGACCTGTGTTCAGTCCCCAGGACCCACATGGTAGAAGGAGAGAACTGATTCCCACAAGTTGACCTCTGACTGCCACACTTGTACCATGGTACATGTACCCTACCTCATACACAAATAAATCAATGTAATAAAAAATTAAAGTTTCTAGCACATGGAAGCCCAGCAATTTTTTTAAAAAAATTTATTTTATGTGTATAAGCATTTTGCCTGCTTGTAAGTGTACCCATGCATACAGTGCCCTTGGAGGCCAGAAGAGGACATTGGAGCTCCTGGAACTGGAATTACAGATGGTTGTTAGCTGCCATGTGGATGCTGGGAACCAAACCTGGGTCCTCTGGAAGAGCAATCAGAGTTTTTAACTGCTGAGCCATCTTTCCAATCCTCCAGTGTATATTTTAAAGTGAAAAAGCTGTGTGAGGATTAAGAGGAATGAATTACTCTATGATGATATCAACATTTAGATTCTTCTAAACTTTTATTTCTAGTTCTGGCCAGTTACTGGGATTTCCCAGATTCAAAGAGAAACTCATGACAGCTTGCACAATGTCTGCTGGTTGCCAAATGTTGTTCTAAGCCTTTTACAATATTAACCCGTTTCATCCTCTCAACCATCCTTTGAGGATCTGCTGTTATTGTCACAACTTTATACAGCTGAGGAAGCCAAGCACAGGGAGGTTCAGTACTTGCCCAAGGTGACATGGTTGGGAAGAAGTGGAGCAGGGGGCTAGAAAGATGGCTCAGTGGTTAAGAACTCTGACTGCTCTTCCAGAGGATGCAGGTTTGGTTCCCAGCACCCATATTGCAGCTAACAACCATCTGTAATTCCAGTTCCAGGAGATCCAATGTCCTCTTCTGGTCTCCGTAGGCACTGCATGCATGGGTGCGCTTATATGCAAGCAAAATGCTCATACACTTAAAAATAAATACAATCTTTTTTTAAAAAGGAAGCAGGGATTTGAGCCCAAGTTTTATAGCTCTGGGGTGTTTTTTTTTACCCAAAAGCCATACAACAGCGTTGAACAGCTGAGTGCTCTGGGGACTGTCACATAGAAGGCTGGGGATGTGTCTAGTAGCCATCCTTAGAATGAGGAGGTACTTGGCACCTCTTCTCCTTGCTTGAAGAGTTCAATCTCATCAGAGACCACCAGAAAAGAACATTTTAGGAACTGGAGAGATGACTCCACAGTTAAAGAGCACTGGCTGCTCTTGTAGAGGACACAGGTTCAATTCCCAGTACCCACATGGCCCCTAACAACCACCCGTAACTCCAGTTCCAGGGGACCAAAAGCCCTCTTCTGATCTCCACAGGCATTGGACGACATCCCAACACCAAAGATGCTGAGTCGTGAGGATTGTTACTAGTTCAAGACCAGCAGGCTACATCATGAATTCCAGGCCATCTTGGGCTACAAAGTATAATCTTGTCCTAAAAACAAAAACAAGAACAAAAACACACCTAAGACGGTAAGAGCACTTGCCACCAAACCTGATGACCTGTGTTCAGTCCCCAGGACCCACATGGTAGAAGGAGAGAACTGATTCCCACAAGTTGACCTCTGACTGCCACACTTGTACCATGGTACATGTACCCTACCTCATACACAAATAAATCAATGTAATAAAAAATTAAAGTTTCTAGCACATGGAAGCCCAGCAATTTTTTTAAAAAAATTTATTTTATGTGTATAAGCATTTTGCCTGCTTGTAAGTGTACCCATGCATACAGTGCCCTTGGAGGCCAGAAGAGGACATTGGAGCTCCTGGAACTGGAATTACAGATGGTTGTTAGCTGCCATGTGGATGCTGGGAACCAAACCTGGGTCCTCTGGAAGAGCAATCAGAGTTTTTAACTGCTGAGCCATCTTTCCAATCCTCCAGTGTATATTTTAAAGTGAAAAAGCTGTGTGAGGATTAAGAGGAATGAATTACTCTATGATGATATCAACATTTAGATTCTTCTAAACTTTTATTTCTAGTTCTGGCCAGTTACTGGGATTTCCCAGATTCAAAGAGAAACTCATGACAGCTTGCACAATGTCTGCTGGTTGCCAAATGTTGTTCTAAGCCTTTTACAATATTAACCCGTTTCATCCTCTCAACCATCCTTTGAGGATCTGCTGTTATTGTCACAACTTTATACAGCTGAGGAAGCCAAGCACAGGGAGGTTCAGTACTTGCCCAAGGTGACATGGTTGGGAAGAAGTGGAGCAGGGGGCTAGAAAGATGGCTCAGTGGTTAAGAACTCTGACTGCTCTTCCAGAGGATGCAGGTTTGGTTCCCAGCACCCATATTGCAGCTAACAACCATCTGTAATTCCAGTTCCAGGAGATCCAATGTCCTCTTCTGGTCTCCGTAGGCACTGCATGCATGGGTGCGCTTATATGCAAGCAAAATGCTCATACACTTAAAAATAAATACAATCTTTTTTTAAAAAGGAAGCAGGGATTTGAGCCCAAGTTTTATAGCTCTGGGGTGTTTTTTTTTACCCAAAAGCCATACAACAGCGTTGAACAGCTGAGTGCTCTGGGGACTGTCACATAGAAGGCTGGGGATGTGTCTAGTAGCCATCCTTAGAATGAGGAGGTACTTGGCACCTCTTCTCCTTGCTTGAAGAGTTCAATCTCATCAGAGACCACCAGAAAAGAACATTTTAGGAACTGGAGAGATGACTCCACAGTTAAAGAGCACTGGCTGCTCTTGTAGAGGACACAGGTTCAATTCCCAGTACCCACATGGCCCCTAACAACCACCCGTAACTCCAGTTCCAGGGGACCAAAAGCCCTCTTCTGATCTCCACAGGCATTGGACGACATACGGGTGCACTTACACACATCTAGGTAATACACTCATACACACAGAATAAAAATAATAAAATATTTTTTGAAAAAAGAACATTCTGGCTGGGTCATAGAGGCTCTGGATGTAATCACAGCATGCTCACCGACTCACCTCTGTGCAGGCTCACCTCTGTTACTCCTAACCAAGTCATCGGCACACCACAGTGCCGCTTCTATTCTTCCAACACCTGACTCTCTCCTCTCTCCCCATCAGGTGTCGTGGAAGTGTACCGAGTAACCAAACGTGTGGAGCTGGGGATAAAAGCTACTGCTGTGTGCAGTGAGAAACTCCAGCAGTTGCTGAAGGACATTGATAAAGTGTGGAACAACCTAATCGGCTTCATGTCACTCGCTACACTCACAGTAAGCCTGTCAGGCAGCCAGCAGATGCTACTCTGTCCTGAAACCCAAGTTGAGAAGCAGGGAAGATATTCCTGTGATGCACTTATTAGAGAATGAAGGTGCCAACTAGATCACTTTACATGATGAAGGAGAGCTGAGATAGCAGTGCCAGGCTGGCTTCTGGACAGCTCCAAGGCCCACTGTACCTAGACAAAATATGAGTGTAGGGCAGCTGAGCTCAGTGGTGCATACCTTTAATTGCAACCCTCAAGAGGCAGAGGCATGCAGATCTCTGAGTTTGAGACCAGCTTGTCTACATAGTGAGCTGGAGGCCAACCAGGGCTACATAGTAAGACCCTGTCTCTAAAAAAAAAAAAAAAAAAAAAGGAGGAGGGTGCCTATTTATATTTTTTTTTCCTATTCTTCTTTGTCAGTGAAAGATTTATCGTCCTCTTTTTTTTTTTTTTTTTTTTTTTTTTTTTAAAAAAAAAAAAAAAAAAAAAAAAAGTGTAGGGCTGTCTCTTTGTCATTTCTTTCTCTCTTTCTCTCTGTGGGGTGTGTGTGTGTGTATGTTTGTGTGTGTGTGGTGTGCAAATGCCAAAGTATCCACAGTATGTCTATGGGGAGGTCAGAGGATAACCTTACCTTCCGTCAGTCCTTATCTTCCTTGTTTGAGACAAGGTCTCTTTGTTGCCATCTGCTGTACATACTAGACTAGCTGGCCCACAAGCTTCTGAGGAATCTCCTGCTTTTGCCTCCCTTCTCGTCATAGGAGCATTGGGATTACAGTCATACAGCTTTATCTCACATACTTTACCACTTCCTGGCTTTATGCCAGTTCTGGGAAATTAAACTCATGTCCTCATCCTTATATAGCAAACGCCTTACCCATTGAACCACCTCCCCAGCACCAGTCATCCTTAAATCTTAATGCAAGTTTTACCAAAATGCATTGGCTTGAGTTCATCCCTTTGTACTTCACTGGTTTATGCCCCTGTGCATTCTTTTAAGAAGCTGTATGGTAGATACATCACGTTGCTTTCCTGGAGTTTACTAACTTTTCTTGGATTGCTTTCATTTTTTCTGTTATGAATAGTTCTACTCTGAGTAAAGAAATGACTGGTTCCTATCGGGTGTTATGGTTCCTGAAGGTGAATGGAGAAGGCCGAGGACGTGCTTACACATGTGCGCATATTTGCTGCTACCTGCTTCACGTGATTTCCAGAGAGCATTTGATTTCATGAGCAGCCTTGCCATATTCCCAACACTAATTTATTGGTTCTTTTCCATCATCTATAAGCTGATCATCTCCTTTGACCCTTTCACCATTTGTTCAGTGGACTACAGTGATGGTCCTTACGTATTTCTGATCACACTCTATATCCTAGTAAACTTAGCAGTTTTTCCTTGTTACTGCTGTCTACCGTTTGCATTTCATTAGTCAAAACTTTTTCTGTTTATATATTCAAACCTATTCAGTTAGTCTCTGATACAATCCTTTATTTCATAGTATTCAGAACTGAGATAAATATTGTTGTTCCTTTTTCTACAATTACCTCTATGGCCCATCTGAACAGCAGGGCAGCCACATGATATCAAGTTGTCCAGCATGTCCCAAAAAGCAAGTATCACTGTTGTTACATTGCTTCTGGCTTTGCAATACTGAGTTCTTACAGAGTCTAAATAATTTCCAAAATCTCTATTGAACCATTTTTCAGTTTATAACAGAAACTCATACAGCTTGGCTATGCAGTCTCAAACTCGAAAATATTCTTAATATTTGTTTAAGCTGAGTGTTACACAGCAAAAAAGTTTTACGTTGCCCTTTAATACACCCTTGACTGTAGACTGAGACTCCCTCTTGTGGTAGAAGCAGGTGTTTCTCTAGAGGAGAAAAGCCATCTATTGTAATGAGATATGGATGCCCCTAAGTGAATGGTAAGCTCAGCTTTGATTTTGTGGATGTGTTGGATCAAAGAAACAATTCAGTCCTGAGAAACAAACTTTTGCCATATAAAACCTAATAGGGGGCTGGAAAGATGGCTCAGCGGTTAAGAGCACTAACTATTATTACAGAGGACAAAGATTCCATTCTCAGCACCCACATGACATCTAACTTCAGTTCCAAGAGATCCAACACCTTCTGACCTCCACAGGCATTATGTGACATGGACTTACATGCACTTACACACATGCAGGCAATACACTCATAAACATAAAGTAAAAATAAAATATTTTTTAAAAAACTAATAGAAGGAGCTGGAGAGATGATTCAGCCATTTAAGAGCACTTGCTTCTCTTTCAGAGGACTGGAGTTCAGTTCCCAGGGACTTATAACCCACTCCAGCTCCAGGGAATCTGACATCACACACACACACACACACAATGAAGTAAATATATAAAATAAGATAAATAAACCTAAGAGAAAGAACTGTTTTTCTGCAGATCTGTAGTCTAGTAGAAGTCATGCAGTCCCTTTCATCCCACTGTTATTTTCAACATATACAAATCCTTAGTAATTCTTTTTCTTTAATTTTTTAAAATTTTATTTTATGTGTATGTGTGTATTGCCTGCATATAGGTAAGCGCACCTGTGTTGTGCAATGCCCGAGGAGGTCAGAAGAGGCTGTCGGATCCCGTGGGACTGGAGTTACAGACAGTTGCCACCTGCCATGTGGGTGCTGGGATTAGAACCTGGGTCTTCTGCAAGAACAGTCAGTGTTTTTAACCACTGAGCCATCTCTCCAGCCCCTCTTCAGTAATTCTTATCAGTGTGAGAAAGCAATGAACGTCGGAGGACTTCCTTATTACTATGACATATCAAGAGAACAGTTTGCTTTTGGCGATTGCATTTCCCCCCCTCATCTTGTCAGAACCATGCTTTAGAGACAAGATCCTCACCATGTCATACATGGCTGTCTCGACTGGCAGATGGCACTCTCAGATTTGACCATGTTCCTCAAACCTATGCTACCTTACATAGTAATGGGAACTTTGCAGATGGAACTGAGTTAGGGGTGTGTGGCTGGAGAAATGATCTTGAGTCACCTGGGTGAGCCCAGTGTCATGTGGGTGTCATCAGGTGTTCTGACAGGAAGGCAGGAGGGTAAGAATGAGATATGATGTGACCACAGAGGCAGAGAAAGATTAGTACCCTGCTGCTTTGAAGACGGACCTGTTAGTGAGGAGTTCACAGTTCCTAATATTTCTAGAGGTGATCTCTAGGAGTTAAAAAGGCAAGGAGAGAGATTCTCCTCTAGGACCTCCAAAAGGCATGAAACTCTCTCAGCCCACTTCTGACTTCCAACCCAACTTCTGAGGTTTTTTTCAGCCACGGAATTTTTGCTAATTTGTTATAGAAACAAGGACAGTACTATACAAAGCACTGCAGCCAAGTGAATACCAGAAGCCTAAAATTGCTTGTGGAATTTATGTCTAGGTTATTCATTACATCTGTCAGAGTAGACCAGGTTACACTGTAGTAACAAACACCTCTCTCCAATCTTAGCATTCTGAGACAAGCAGGCCTTCTTTCTTGTTCAGGCTGTGTGTCGATCTTAAGTCAGAGGGACTGTGTGCCCTGTTCTAACTCAGGGACCCAGGTTCGCTACCTCCACTGCATTGGATGTAGCTGGTCACCTGTGAGGGTCAAAAGAGCATGACAAGCAGCATATCAATCTTAAAGACTTCCTTCCAGAGGTGTCAGGCATGAATCTCTGGCCAGGGTAGGTTCCATAGCCATACCTAATTTCAAGGAGGCAGGCAAGGCCTGTTCTACCTTTTATCCAGAAAGGAGAATATGAATATTGGTGAAGAACAGTAATTACCAACAAACTCTTCTTCCTTTAATACTGATTTTGTGCAACACTATTTTAGTAATTTATTACTGGCTAAAGATTCAGGATTATGTACCCCAGTCTGACTCTGGGACTTGTCTGTGTAAGCAGGTCATTTACAGTACAAAGCCTCTTAAACTTTACCCACTCATGACCCCTTTCACCTGAGACATTTTTGTGTGTGTATGTATATAAAGTAGGTATGAAATCAAACATTTACTCCTAGTAGATAATAAATAAATTTATTTAAAAAGGGCTCTTTGATACATGTAATTTTCCATTTATTAAAGACGAGAGCAAATTTGCCTCTCAGTGAGATGCTTGTTTGTGTCTACATAATGGACTGAATCTCAGCCAGGCACCTGCTGCTTCAGAGTGCAGAGCATCTTCAGTATTTTTCAGAATTGATCAATACTTTGACTTTATGATGCTCGGTGCTGAGAACACCACTTTCCATAAATATATAATATGAAATGGCAGAAATATGTCTAATTCAGAAATTCTATACGAATCCCAAACCAAAATTCATTTAACAATTTTGTTTATGAAACTCAAGTCATCAAATCAAACAGCAGTTTTGAAAACCAAACTTTTTAAAAAAATATTTTGTTCATTATTTTTATTTTATGTGTATGAGTGTATTTACCTGCATGTGTGTAAGTGCACTCGTCATGTAGTGCCCTTGGGGTTCAGAAAAGGACTTCAGAACCCCTGGAACTGGAGTTAGAGACAGTTGTTAGCCCCCTTGTGGGTGCTGGGAATTGACCCTGGATCCTCTGCAAGAACAGCCAGTATTCTTAACTGCTGAGCCATCTCTCCCCCAAAATCAAAACATTTTAACAATACAGTCCAAGCATACAGATTTCTTACTTACATGCTAAAGAATGTCAGTAGAGAAATAATGAAAGTCTGTATTTTCTGTAATTAAACCATTATGTTTCTATAAAAACAGAAAACTCTGCACAGTAAAAACCCTGCAGTTTACAACATACCACAGTCTCAAATCTGAGCTGAGGTGTTTCAGGCAGTTCTAATTGGCGTTGGTGTGACTGTGTATATAATTCAAAGCACACCTGTTGTATGTTCTAAACAAGCATGGGTGAGCACTGCCAAAAGCACCTTTGATTTGTAAATATCTTTGATTTTAAATTAATTTCTGGTTGTTGCATATCAAGAAACCCTTTA